TCAGATGGACAGGGTTACCGGTACACAGGTTGGGGTCTCGTTCTGCGGTAGCAGCAAGTAGATATTGTTCGAGGGGCTGGGTGGTGGTGCGTTTAAATCTTGGTTTGCCCATTTGCTGTACTTTTGTGAAGATAAATGCGTGGTTTGGTGAAGATTGTGCGTGTTGCGACTGGTAAACCTGCAGTTTTTCTGTTGTGCTTAATCGGCGGTGGCGAGAAAAGTGTTATGTACAACACCCATTATAACTTTGTTCAGAATGCGAGAACAAAAAATCCAACGACGGATTCGTAATCCCCACCCCAAAATTGACCCACCCTGAAATTTTCAGATCGATATAACGATTTTTCAAAACGGGGGATATTTTGGCACCATCCCCGGCCTGTGCGTTTTCGCAAATTGGCAAGGGAAAAAAGAGCAAAATGCATTGAAACCCGTCCGCCACCATCAGGTTTGTTTTTGAAATTTAGCATATCATCATAAGAAAGATATAGGATCATTGCTTTGAAATTTCAAGGGTTAGGGGGGGGATGGTGACGATCCGCCCCCCCCCCCCCCAAAAAANTGGCTCGTCCACAGTTCTTGTTGATCTCTGAGGGTGACCAGCTTGGTCAAGCCCTCACGAGAGCTGGCGGAGAGAACCATCAAAGCCGTGTACAGCAGACAGCATGTCGTGGTTCGCAGCCTGTCTGGTGTGCTGTGCCAAAGCTTTAGCGCCAGCAGAGACCGTGGCAGAGCCCGCAGGGGGCCGGTGGGGGCGCCGCAAAAAAAAGCACTCCCCCCTCGTCGTACGAGTAGATCATGTTGTGCGGGGTGGAAAACCCTCACTCCGCGCAAGGGGGATGATCGCACCACGTTGTGTTAAAATGGTGAAGCATCCTCGAGGCAGTTACACAGTGCTTACAACTGTCTCTGGAAGTGAAAGCACCAGAAAGTAAATTAATTCATACGCAGCTGTCATCCGTACGAAAGGAAGTAAGCACAAGATGACGAACACCCTTAGCAGGATGCAGCTCGCCCTTCATGCGACTCGCCGAATATNGAGCGAGAAAGCTGTGAGGTTTGTTTCTTATTCGACAAACTCCCCCGTAAACCCTTGTTTCTTTTGTAGTAGGGCAGCGGTCGCCGCTGTATTTCTTATTGAGACATTTCTTATTGTGTGACCCAAACTGAGCTATGTTTCTTAACCCTATTTTCTTATTTTTCGTGAAAAAGTGAGCCTCAATTTCTTAACAAAATATTTCTTAACTGCGGGCGCCAACTGTACCATGCACCATGTACAGACAGCACTTCAGACAGCAGTACGCTGTAGTCGACAAACATTCATTTTGGTTAAATGCGGGACGAGGAAGGGGGTTGATGCTGCCATGCTGTACCAGGTAGTCGATTTGAAGTGTATGGGCGTGTAGTTCAGTTGTGAGCACGCAAACGTGCTGCAGGGATTGCAGGTGTACCTCCTCGGGCTTGCGTACCCTTTCCTTGCTAATAGTGTGTGTGTAAAAAGGGCGTTTGCCCGTCACGAGATAAGGTGCCCCAAGCCTCATATACTGGCATGTGGTGCCCACATACATACAAAGATACCCCCCGTACCCTTCCCTTGCTAATAGTGTGTGTGTAAAAAGGGTGTTTGCCCGACACGAGATAAGGTGCCCCAAGCCTTATATACTGACATGTGGTGCCCACATACCCCCCCGGATACGAGCGAGCGGACAGCTCAGCATCGTAGACAAATACGCGGGTACCACGACGCACCCCCCGTAGCATGTACGTTAACCGGAGCCCGACCGGCTGGCGGCGGACAAAAAACTACCCACTTTCACGTGCCCGGATTCGAACCTGGGACTTTGACATTGCAAGGATGACATCCTGCCGCCGACGCCACTTGTAAAAAGGGTATTTGCCCGACACGAGGGAAGGTGCCCCAAGCCTTATATACTGACATGTGGTGCCCACATGTGTGTTCTTTAGATCTTCTGATGGCTCTATCTAGCATTTTTGCGACCACGGACCGAGTCTTTGCTAGATTTTGGGATTAGCAACTGACACGAGTTTAATGTGAAGAAGAAAAACAACAACAACAACAACAACAACAACAACAACAATCAAAGCCATGACGTCGTATGGCCATCAATCAACGATTTTTTGTTGTTTTTAGTTCCTGCTGGACTGCTTGCTTTCACTCGGGCGGGAAACTCGGAAGGTTTGAGACAAATGTGGCGGGCAAGTTGTGAGCCTGACGCAATATTTGCCATCTTTCGTGTCACAATCCTATGTCTACGCTGCTGGACCATGGTCGGTCGTGTTCCTCGACGGTGTGATGTTATGTGTGATACCCTCGCCGCCAGGGGGATGCCGCATGCATGTGTAGTCTATGCTTCTTCCAGATGCCCAGATATACGTACGTGTGTGGTTGTTTGCATCCGCACGGCGGGAAGACTTCACAATTTATTTGTTTCTTCGCGTGCATGTGCATCAAAACGGAAAGAAACAGCCGCATGTATGTCAAGTGTTGTGTGTTTTCGTCCTACTTCGAAGTATTTCTTGAAGTATTTATTATGGCGACAGTCTCCCCATTTTTCGTGGTGAAATGTGTACTAGTCTACACTTTTCAGCGTATAGTATGTAGACTATGTAGAGTACTAATACTACACTTTTCAGTGTATGTTTTTGTACAACTACAACCATCCAGGGTCACACATGCGGGGGTAAACCCCAGGGCTTTTTTCTTTTTTTTGTTTCATTTCATGCCCCACCTTCCTCCTGCGGTGCGTGCTAGATTTTCATTCTTATCGCGAGAAGGGTCCAGCCGTCCCTTTCCCTCGTCAACGGTGCTCAGGTCGAAGTTTGGTACTCACGAGAGCTTGTCAGCAATATTTCGCGTTCACCCGCAAATTTCGTAAATTTTTCACCCCATGGGGTTTCGGACTCACGACCTCTGCGACTAGCGGATTACGAGGATACCACTAGATAGACCACCGGGGCGACCGGGTATTATTTAATTATTCTTGTGCAACCAGCGGATTACGAGGATACCACAGACCACCGGGGCGACCGGTGTCAAGTGCAACATTTTGAACGGTGGCCGCACGTACAATCATCATCGCTCCCGTCGCACGCCTGCTGTCCCTCTGTGGTGCACGCGTAGCTGCACCACAAACGATTCACGCTGGTGTGTGTCGGGATTCGTGCACCATCAGCATCACAGATAAGACTACTGCAAGGTATTGAGTCGCACCACGCGGCTCATTACCCCCCTATATCTATTAGACTATTTTGGTATCTGACCCTGCGTGAACGACCTGACAGCGACGTGCGATTCCTACTGCACAGCTGTGTGTCGTGATAGAGACGACGCATACCACCCTTCCTTACAGATTTCGCGCATGTATGTGTTAGGTTGCTTGTCTGGACGACGCGTGAGGCACGAGAGAGGGAAGGGATGGCCAAGCGCGGGCCGGTGTACACATTATTATTACAGCGTTGCGCGTTGTATGTTCGCCAACGGTTGCACACCGCCTTTGTCTGTGTCCTCCACATGTTCACTCAATTATTTGGGAACAAGTCACGGATCAGCAGCAAGCCACTTAATTAATTCGTCCCCTCGCATCACCCCCTCGGTTTTTGCCATCGGGGTTGGGTTTTCGTCGCTTGGCAACGACGTTGTAAAACAAGCCAATTCACTTCGTGAACTCGGCAACCAGGTTACCGTTTTTTTTTTTTTACCTCCGTTTTTTTTTTTTGGCGGTAACCATAATGGTGGTCGAGTAGATCATGTTGTGCGGGGTGGAGAACCCTCACTCCGCGCAAGGGGGATGATCGCACCACGTTGTGTTAAAATGGTCAAGCACCCTCGAGGCAGTTACACAGTGCTTACAACTGTCTCTGGAAGTGAAAGCACCAGAAAATAAATTAATTCATACGCAGCTGTCATCCGTACGCAAGGAAGTAAGCACAAGATGCCGAANGATTTGTTCGTTTTATTCGGTGGGGAGGACAAGTCTACTTGTCTAGACTGCTGTAGTTTTTGTGCCTAACTAGTCCAATCAGCCTGAGCGGCGAGAACTCGACACGGAACACCCCGCCGGCAGTACTGTGTAGTCTACTCTATAGATCAGGGCACCAAGATTAAACCGAGGAGTTCACTGTTACCTCAAATAGCGTGAAGAGGGGAGGGAGCGGAGGACCCCAGACTAGTACCTGTCGGGGTCCATTATTAGACTATATTTATTATAGGAGTTTAGGATAGATTAGCCTTCGACCACAGGGGGAATCGACCGCGTGAAGTGGTAGATCAGCACGGACAACTAAGGTGGGCAGAGAGATCGGAACGTTTTTTTGTTGCTTCATTGTGCAGACAACAACAAAAACAACAATGATTCGTTGTTTTCTGGCCCTGGATGAACGACCTCCCAGCGGCGTGCGATTCCTTATGTTGTTGTCAATACTTTGTATGCAATGACGCGGGAGACACGAGACAGGGAAGGGATGGTCAAGCGCTGGTGAATGTACACCTGCCGGCGCAGCGAGCTGTCGGTCTCTGCGCTACAGATGGCGCCCGCACTTACGAACCTCTGGTTTCGCCCGAGGCTTGGGTTCTTATTTTGCTGATCATCTTCTTGTGGGCTACAACTGGCCGCTATATAGGTTTTAGTGTGGGGTTCTTAACCGAGCTCACATATGGTGCTCAAGTTCTTAGCTTCTGATTTTTGCGAGTCTCGATTTCTTAACTGCTAAGTTCTTAAGTGCGGGCGCTGTCTGTACTGTCGGTTGAGAGGGCACTGGCGATCCCACCGAAAGAGCAGTCAACAAGGAAGTATCGCAAAACTGGAGATCTGTCTGAGAGACTTCGGGGATACTTGGGGTTAGGATGGGATCATAGGAGTTCGGCCGCCATGACGGTTACCTTGTACCAAGGCGTGAGGAAAATTTTTTGAGTAGGCAACCCGGAGGTGACGGTGGCATCAAGCTGATGACATGTGATGCGTCGGCATATCGCATTCTTGCTCGTTCACTCTCTCGGGTCAATTTGTGTACGGCTCACGCAGGTCATGCACGAGGTGCCTGCTTTGTAAGCAACGTTCGCATTCTTGTGACTGGTTGACTGCCCTATTGAGGTGCCAACGCACTTCACAACCAAATTCTAACAGCATATCGCGGTGCCCCGAGACTTAAACAACGGTATCTTGGATCTGGGGTCACACGCAAGGGTGATTGACCCTCCAGGGACTTCCGAACCTGTCCAATCGTACAACATGCGAAATTGCAAAGGACGACATACTGGCACCCATATATTCCCCCAAGATTCCAAAGAAAAGACACCCCGTACCAACCAACAATTTTCTGCTCTCTGCAGTGATGCCGTACGGCACTTCAGGCACAAAATAACACTTGTTTCTAGTTCAAAGCACGTTGTGTGCAACACGCAGGTGTTCAAAAGCACACCATTCTTGTAAACTACATCCACCCGTGCACGATCATACACCACATCGACCATAGACAGCAGTTTTGCCTTGTGAACGGCAATCCCCGGCATACGTTTCAAGGCTCCTCGTAAACTCTACGCACCCTACACCACAACGGCGCGCTAGTATTCATGGGTCCTGCTGGTGGTTGAAAGCCCAACCCGTGGTTGACGTTGATCATGGCCACATCACGGGGTAACTTTCTGAAAGCTAGTCGAGATACGGACTGCGAATACATTCTGTGCACATCCAACGGTGTCACCGATACATAAACAACGTCTCCCACACCTCACACGTCTCTCTTGGGGGGGGGGATCATGTACCCATTCGTGGTCTGACTACGACGACAACGCTTCGAAGGCTTCGACAAACGCCGCGGGCGGCTGCCCCCCGGACAGCGGAACGGTTGCCTTACTACCCTCGCGCGACACGATGAAGTACGGGACCCCCGAGATGCCGTGGTTGTGGATACCGTGTTTATACTCGCTGATGACTTCTTCCTGTCCTTCCTTGCCCTCAAGGTAATCTTTCGTGCACTCAACTCCAGCCTGTGCATATTTTAGTACAAGCGGCGATTGGGAACAAAACACATGGAGCGGGATCAGACACAGGGAGGGAGGAATGGTAAGGCGCGAAGAGGTGCGGTGTGGTCTTTGGGCGTTTTCGGGCGAAAAGTGGAGAGTTGGCAGGAGCGAGACAAACCTGTGACACCCCTTTCTCGAGCAGAGAGAGGGTGTATCTATGTGTTGAGGAAGAGAGGGGGGGGGGGGG